GGAAGAGGAGATAAATTATGATAGGTTGATAAGAAAACCAAGAATACGGCAATATTGGCATGATGGGACTTTGCATAGGGAAGCTGAGGAGAGATCTTCCAGTTATACGGAACTATTTTGGGATTTAATATTCGTAGCTGTCGTGCAGAATTCGGGGCATTTACTAGTCGAGAATATTTCTGGAGAAAATTTAGAAAAATTTATCGTTACATTGTAAGTTTGAATTATTTTCTTTGCCCTATCAAAAAATACTTCTAATAGTAAGGTTTTCTATTTTGATAAGTTTTCCGATATTTCGAATATGGTTGGACCTTCATTATTACCTAAATGTGTACAGTACGGAGGATCTTGTCGAAAAGTTTTTACTTTTATGGGTGAGCGAAGGGTGTCGTAGACATTCGCATTTTTTTTTTATTAATAATTGATTTTATACCATGTATTAGGAGATGACATTAGTAATTGTAATGGGAACTCATGCATATGATATTTATGGCGAGACTAGTGTCATTTATTTTGGTAAGTTTCACTAGCAAGTCATTGATTCTTTCTTTCTTTAGAGACACTCTTTTTAAAATATATATATACTTTCAGTTTCCTATATAGTAGCCAGGATGACTTTTGCGTTATTGTATATAAATTATGCAATATCCATTCCAATGTTTCGCGCAGTGCTTGTTAATAATGCTTGGCAGATCATTATCCCTGCTGCCTTTTGGATCGTTTTTTTAACCGTCCCACATGAACTAAAACGTCCGGCAATATGGATTTCTATAATCTTCGGTAGGTTCAAGAAAGGGGAAATTCATTATAAATTGCGTGTGTGTTACCTGGTCATGACCGAATTTCTGGAATTTTTTGAAATAGAGTTGTTTTGGTTTATTATGATTCCTTTATATGGACGCTACTTCGTAAGAAAACCGGCAAATCATGTTCATACTCCGGACTTCAAGAGAGTTGATACTCCAGAGATTGGAAAACCATCAAAATCAATCGAGTCGACAGTAATCGATATCACAACACCGCACAAAGCGATGAAAACAAAAGGAACCGAATATCAATTTAGATGGAGAGATTTACTTGTAATGTTCGGCCCTTCAGAGTACATAGCAGCTTTGAACATAGAACATTGGAGTGAACGCCTTGGCATATTTGCTATCATTTGTTTAGGCGAAGGAGTAGGTGCATTTATTCATTTATCGGTGTCAGTTTTGTTATAGTAGTATTAATCTTTTTTTTTTAATGCAAATAGCTGTTTGGTATTGTATATACAAGCCTTAATTCAATCCCTGATTGGCAGCTTGGAAAGGTAACGATATCATTTTGCATATAACATACATTTTATGTATCTAAACAAGTTTCTCTCCGAAAAAAAAAAAGTCAATATTATCATTAGTGTTGGCATATAATTTACATTGGATATACTTTGATGTCGAGGCCAGTAGACAATACCTTCACGCACTGAGAAGGCATACTTTAACTGGCTTATCGTTTACGTTAGTACATTTTCCATTGGTAAGCGATTTTTCACTACATGCAGCGAGATGTTTGGATATTTTTATAACTAATTTTTCAATTAAATTAGAATACGGCACTAATCGCTTTTGGGTAAATACGAGTGATCATCAAGCCAACATTTTCTTTCCTGAAATCTAAGTTATATCCTATTCTATTGTATCCCCACGTATAATAGCTCCTCGTTGAATCAAATTGTAGAAATAAGAGATTTCCCGGGGGCTGGCGATGTTCCAATGCCAATGCAAACGAGCGACAATGTTTTGCAAGTGTTTGAGAAAAGTTTACAGTGGCTATTTTGTTGTTCTCTGGCTATTATCATGTATTGTCTCGTCGCAATCGGCCTCCTACACAAAGGATTGGATTCTGTTAATTACACGAAAATTTCAAAGGTAAAATTATTCTATCTAGGAAATGGTTCTTTATAGTTCATTTCTTTTAATACAGTATGTGTACTGCTCATTTCAGAAATATAGAATTTCCATCCGATTTATAATTGGAACAATCTTTATGGTTTTACCTCTGGCGGAACTAAACAGCGTGAACCTACTGGCAGTATTATCAATGGTTTCACTTTTACTTGTGATTGTTGAAACTTACGGAAGACTTCGTAAAGCCGATCCTCTATTTTATAACTGCGACGATGATACCATAAGTAGTGATAGTAGTCGGCGAGCATCTAGACGTTATATCAGGTGGAGATGGGGTTCATTGGATTTAAACAAAAGAAGATGGACCGTGGGCACATATAAAAAAGGAGAATCTACCAGAAGTGAGACTGAGACAGAAATTGTTAATATCGAGAGTGGCAATAAACAATAATATACAGTAATATTGTAATGCGAATAAATAAAAAGTAAATATAAATAATTATTTGGAACGTTATTTCATTGGCAGTTAAGAATTATATCATTTCGTTGCACAAATTTATGTATACGCGTGCATTGTGACTGCGGCAAAATCTGAGTCATGTGTGGAATTTTATTTCGTCTGGAACGTCTTCCTGCTAACCTCAATTCTTCCACGAGCGCATTTCAACAAGAATTATGGAATCAGTTAATTATTCAAAATAAGAGGCGAGGTATAACATCTAATAGCACCTTTGTTTATTTTGAATGATAGGAGTCGGTTATATTAAATGTCGAAAAATTCATGCATCCGTACATCAAGGCCCCAACGTCCAAAATCAATTTTCTAAATCATTATATTCAGCCATCACAGCTGAAAATTATGTCTCTATGGAATTCTATGGTGCGGTATTACACCTCCGTGGAAAATTCACTACTGAACAACCCCTAAAAAATGGTGATCAAGACGTCTTGTTATGGAATGGTGAAATATTTGATGGTTTGGAGGTATTAAGATGATTCATTTATGAAATCACACTTTTAAATTCTTATTTTTAAATTGTTTATAAAACAAGGTACCCGCGGAGGATAACGACGCAACGCATCTACTTGAGGCTTTGAAAAGTGATAAGGATTATGATGGCGATTGCATTGTTCTCAGTGTACTTCAAAAAATTGAAGGACCCTATTCAATTATTTACTGGCAGGTTCAACAAATGATATTATACTTATTTAAAAAGAATTCGGTTGTTCAGACATTCTAATTATTTCATCTACTTCTACTCCTTAGAACTTTAAACGCAAACTATGGTTCGGACGTGATTGTTTAGGAAGGCGGTCTTTATTATGGCACATTCCATCCAACGGAGACCATGGTTTTTTATTGACTTCTGTTGGATGTAAAATTCCCAATGGATCAACAAACATTAAACCATCTTATTTGCAAGAGGTTCCAGCCGATGGGATTTATTGCGTCGATGTGGGCACCATGTTATCTTCAGATCCATCGGGTGAATTTCTTGATCATTAGTTTATTCATAATATGAATTAATATTGATAAGTTTTCAGGACCTTTAGAACCCTTTGAAAATTTTTTGATACACCACAAATGGCGTAGAGCAACCGAGTTAATCAAGAATGAAAATTCTTACGTTCCGGCAAGGATCAAGATTTGGATTTTAAAATTTTTATTTAGTCAATAATCTATTCCTTATTTCCATTTTTTTTTCTTTTTACCTCAGATATTACCATTTGATAAATTAACTAGCATTCTCCCTGATCCATGCGAACTTTCTCTATTACCGTTATCGCTACCAGATTCATTCGTTCCATCAATATCTGCAGAAATGGAAGTAGCCATGAATTGTATGATCGATGAATTAGGAAATGCAGTTCGCCGACGTGTTATTAACATCCCGCGAATAGGGTAATTTAACATAATTTTTATTAAAATATACATATGTATATATATAATTAAATTTCTATAACTTTGTAGGTCGCCGAGCGATGCCAGAGTGGCAATATTATTCTCTGGCGGATTAGATTGTGCTTGCCTAGCAGCGTTGGCAGACAGGTATATTCCACAATGGGAATCCGTAGATTTATTAAATGTTGCTTTTGAAAATCTTCGAACACGACAAATCAAACCCGAAAAGAAGAAGAAAGGTTCCCAAAGCAGCGAAAACAATAGTTCGATATACGATGTCCCCGACAGAACTACCGGAAGGCAAAGCGTGGAGGAATTAAGGTATTTGTTGACCCGTATTGGTATTTTGATAGGACGTAAACGGTTAACGCGTCGAATATTTCATTTTTAGGAGAATTTCTCCGAATAGGACGTGGAACTTTGTTGAGGTGAATGTTCCCTATGATGAAGCTTGTGAACACAAAGATGAAATATTAGAGTTAATGGCGCCTTCTGACACCGTTATGGATTTGGTGGGTATATCTTTTTAATTTTATATTCAATAAATTCATCCACACACTAATTTAACCAAATCCAGAGTATAGCAATGGCATTTTGGTTTGCTGCTAGGGGCAAAGGTTTGTTACATGGCCTTTTATTATAATAAAACTTTATTATCTGTTATCTTATCCTCTTTTTGCATCAGGTCAAATGAGATGCCATAGCAATCCAGAGGTATGTTAATTGCTAGTTTTGTGCGATTGCATAAAAGTCAGCTATATATATATTATGAATGCATTGCTATTAATAATTTTATTAGAATATTATAGAATATGAAAGTAAAGCAAGGGTGATACTTGTTGGAGTAGGTGCAGATGAATTGTTGGCAGGTTATTCACGTCATCGTGAATCATTTAAACAAGGCGGCTGGGGAAAACTAATTGAAGAGGTGAAACTTTGAAGAGCCTACGCATCTTCTACGGCTTGTAGTCATTTTAATAAAGAAATGTTATCAACACAGGTACAATTGGATGTCGATAGGATCTCGACAAGAAACTTGGGTAAACTCATTATTTTATGAAACAAATATTAGCGCAATATTTACCAAACCAAATTAACATATGTTGTTGACATTAAAAATAGGTAGAGATGACCGGATAATCTCATCACACTCAAAAGAATCTAGATTTCCTTATTTATCAACAAATGTAGTTTCGTTTTTATGTTCATTGCCAATGCACATTAAGGCAGATATGAGATACCCAAGAGGTATGGGGGAAAAATTGTTATTAAGACATGTAGCAAGGAGACTGGGATTGATTGAAGCTAGTGTTCTGTGGAAAAGGGCCATCCAATTTGGTGCTAGAACAGCGAAGATGACAAACGAGAGTAGGGGTGAAAAAGGAAATATGAAAGTTAGTGATGAATAGTAATTTATTATAATGAACTTAAACCCTAGCAAAAACTTGCCATTCAGCCGGTAGCCGAATGGCTATCACTTGATGCTACCTTGAAAATTATATAAATTATCACATTCTATGTAAAAATTTTTATATAGGAAGAAACGGTTTAAAAACAAAAATATCGTAATTAAAGTTTATTCGTGCACTCAACGATTCTTTTACGCACTTTATATTAAAATAAAAATAACAAATCAAATTATCATGAGAGAATTATTATTCTTTCAAAACATTTATGGAATAAGTATTAAATATGAAGCTTAATGGATACAAATAATTATCTAGTTATTATATCAACAGAGATCTATAGTTGTATTACTAGAAAGATGCATAAAAAAGGCTTCTGGTCTAACTCCCATAAATGTCTCAAAATCCCTTTATCTTGATAATTTCCAGAATCCTAACTACCTTAACTTGAAATATTTCAATTCAGTATATATTAAACAAAATACTGTATATCTTTAAAATTACAGGTAATAACAATAAAAATAAAAAATTCTCTTTAAGGTTTAAGCAAAAATATAAAGGTATTTAGATAATTTAATCAACTCTTAAGAATTTGAATTATATATATAAGCTAGCTAGAAAATTGTTTCTTGAAAATTTGTTATTCTTCAATTAGTTTAAGACATATTAATATAATCATATATTTGATTATTTGGTCACCAGATAAATATGCTTACCTATAAAGTGATAATAGATCTATTTAAGTCCATGATAATAAATTATTATTAATTTATATACATATAAAAATATATAATATATATGGAATAATTGATATCTACTAGATAACAAAACTATTAATTTGTTAAAAATTCTTTTAATAAATTATGTAGATACTTAAATATCGATTATGATTTTTTAAAAAAATAAAAAATAATATTTTTAAAAATTAATTTTTTTAATTATTTTAATTATCAATAATATTATAAGAATATATTATAATTAAATATTAATAAAAAAATATTTATTTCATATAGTGCTACTTCTGTAATATTTATCAAAAAATAATTCAATAAATTAATAGTATAAAAAATCAATCAACTTTTATTATATTACTTTAGTTCTATTTTTAGATCATGTGACACATGTGATGCAAGGTGTATCTCATTGGTTCATAGGGTAGATCCAATTATTAGAACAAAGTAATGATTGATGTAGCACACATTATTTAATTTCATTATTTAATTTTCATATCTTATCTATATTTAGTTAGCAGGTTACCCAAGTGAGCAAGCAGATCTGGTATATTGACCTAATTTGACAAATCTGGTAGATTTTGTCACTTTGATTATTTTGGTCACCAAATAATAAATATTCAATTATATATATAAAAGCCAGTTGTTCAAAGCAGTTGATCCAATGTTTTATCTATTAAATTATCTTATCTTTGATATTATATATCT